GGGAAGGGGGTCTCCTTGGCACGCGTGCTATTGATTTTCCATCGCCGCCTCGGGTCTAATAGTGGGTTCCGCCGCGTGCCTGGGATTTCACGGAAGAGGCTGCGGCGGCGGCGGTGGAGCGCGGGGCGGGGCGGTCGGGCTGCGAATTGAATCGCCTGCTAGCGGATGGAGCCGTTAACGTTAATTGAGGAACTGAACGAAGGAGGCGATTTTTAGTAGATGTAGGTAGATAGGAAGATAATTAGACAAAAATACATAAAGATATATTCATAAATAGATCAACTGATTGATGTTTTCAGACACGTATCTTTCCTCTTAATGTATGAATTTATTTGGCATTACAGGGTCGGATTAATCAGACTTTTGCCTGATAGCAGTGATCCCAGGTCTGGGCCCCGCTTTTATTTATCACCCACGCCTGGGAATTAGAGGTCCTGTATCGCGCATGAAGTATTCCCATTGCTGGATAGTCTCACAGCTATAAAAATTGAGACGATTTATGAAGAAAGCAGAAGAAAGCCACAGCTTCTTTTTTGCCCCGGCCGGGAATTCAACCCGGGATTGTACCAAACAAAGCTAGAGTTCCGTCCTTGAGCCACCCAAGGGGCTTCTTTCCTCTCAATAGCTTTTAAAATCTAGAATCTCTTCATACTCTTTATTATGCTATTTTATTACGTGTTGAGAGTGAATTAAATTGTTAATTATTAATTGTATTCAATGCAATTAAGTGGAAAAACTAGATCACTAATATATTCGTTATAATAAACTGTACAGTAGATTGCCAGCTCGGGCTACCACCCGACACATTCTTGTCATACCAGGGGGATTGCTCCCCAGGTGGTTACCTAGACTCTTTGGCTTTGGCACCACCCTCGGGGGTATAAGTATCTCTTTGAACTGATATATGGATACACCGGGTCGTGGCACCCCACGCCTTCTCAATTAAACTGGAGTAGGGTCACCCTGCCAGTTCAGATCTAATAGATGTCCGGGCTAGCACCCGAGTCTAACTAAGCGCTGGGCTGCGAATCAAATTTAAGTGCGCAGTTGGTGCAAATTTGAGTTACGACTCAAATTTCGCCGGGTCGAATCCCAACTCAGTATCCCATAGTGCCGAGCGCTGCCACGACTACGCCAAGTGCCCAACTGGGGCCATCCGGTCCGAGGTCCGTGCGGCTCGGGGCCCACAACCCGACTCCTCACTGCAGCCATCTCCACGCCAACAATGTATTTCTGGACTCTAGAGCAAACTGACGGGAGATTTCAAAATCCTCGCCGGACTTCTTTCCTTTATCTGGGTTTGGAAGCAAGTCCCGCTACCCAATCCTGCCCCAAATTTGGACGGATAGAAACCTAACTGGTGGGGACGGGCGACTCCTAGTAACCAGGAGATTAGCGCCGCCTCTTCATTGCAACCAACTTGGTACTAACGACGCGAGTCTGCCGAGAGACTAGGTTTTCAGTCTCTGCCAACAATCTTGGACCCTCCGGCAGTCGGTCCCCCTACGGGGAATACACCGAGCCAATAAATCACAATAAATCTCACTGCAGTCTGATCTGATGCGATGTTTCAATGACAGCATTCCGTAGCCTCTGAAGTGCCGCTGACCATTTCAAAGGTATCTATGATTTCGGAAGATACCTAAGAAGTCGGGAAAAATACAAAGTTAATGTATCTGTTTCGATTTAACTGAACATTTCAAATGTTTGATTGTATTATTCAACCTATTCTCATACTGCGCTTACCGACTGAATTCTCATACTCGAGGCTTTGCTATTTAAGACAGAACTAACGTCGTGCGACAATAAAGCACCAAGGAAGAGACCGTTGATCATTTAAATAAGAGCTATTCACGTATTGCGATATGGAACAACGTTTTTTGCTTTTCTTAATATATGATGAACTGTTGAACTGTAGGTCACAGTCCGGCAATTATTTAATGATACTAATTTTATTGTGTCCAAAGAAAAATGATTGAAGTAACCTGTTTGTTATTCAAAGTATCTGTGATGCCAATGACACCCTCAATATCGTAGAAGCATTGGCTTAACGTTTGACTTCAGACGATTAAATTGAACGCCTGGGCCAATGATGCTGGTGTGACGAGGGACTCTCAGCGACTGCTTGAAATGACGTCGAATTTCGAGTCATGTTCTAGGCACGACAATGTGGTGTTACCAGATTGTAGAGAAAGAAGTACTGTTTCGAATGCATATACTGGTTACAGATAGCATTTACAGTTTCGGCACAATAAAATTAGTCTCATTAAGTAATTGCCGTACTGTGTATGTTATTGCACTATTCGTGAAAACGATTATTGTTAAAATATTTGACATATTGGAGTGTTATTTGAAAGTTGTAGCCTATACAATTTTTGTTGCTGCAAATCACTATTATTACTAGTTATCCCCCCAATTTTTTTTTTTAGTATGGTCAATGTATCTCTTGAAAGTCTCTGTCGAACAGTAACCTAATCGGCTTCGGTCGATGTTACTTATAATTCAAAACAGCTTTCTTTAGAGTTCCAGGTAAAGAAGGGATATCAGCTCTGTACGAAGACAATCTTCTCAAAACTCAAATAAAATCCAGGGAATTAATTTTAAGAGCGGACTACAAAAGATGAGTTGAAATCTCTGGGGAAATGAGAGAAATGGCGAAACCACGTGTACGTTAAAAATCGTTCATTATCTTCTCAACTCGAAAGGAAATATTTTCTCTTTTTATGACGAACTTATAGAGTTATAATACTTTTGAAGACGCAAAAAAGCTGTAATAAAAAAATAAACTACTAATCAAGAATAATAAGTACGTTACGAAAGTTTTCTAGAGAGATGTTGTATGAATTAAAACAGTACTATCTATTATATACCAATGAGAAGAATTTTGAAGTCAAAATACTTAAAAGAAATATCAATAATTCATTTTGATATACTTTCATCTCCTACGTCCATTTTAATTTCTGTCAACAGTTTACGTAAAAAATACGTGCGACAAAATGATCTTTATGTAGTCTTGGACACAGGAAATGCTTATTCTATGGGGGAAGAGAAATAGAAGAACTCTTAAAGTAAAGGATGTCTGATATTTGGATATGAATGACATAAAATATATTGGGGCATCAATTGAAATTGCAAATTTACAGTTTCGTTTCGGGTGCCCATGCAAAACGATATGCTCGCATGGACGCAGGGCCATAAATATTTACTTACAAATAAGACATATTCGAAAACTCTTTTTTTTGGTAAAATATATAACTTCAAACCGCTAGTAATAATTTGCAAAAAAAAAAACCAAAAAAAAAAACCAACGAAGAACGAATAACGGAACAAAGGTCAACGACCCCCATCTCGATCAGGTTTTTCGTCTACATTCCCTATACTTTGGGCAAATTGGGATGGCCCTTTGGCTAATTGAGATGGCCCATTGTTTTGCTTCTGGTGCTAAATGTAGCTTCACTATCTGTGAACGTTTCCTTGAGCTATGTAGGAAATGAGTTCAAATAATAATAATGTTCAAATAATCGTTTTCCATTTTATTGCCGCAGTAAGTCGATTTTGTCATGTACAACACTGGATTATAGTCAAAATCCTTAGCTGATTCCTCAGAAAATAGTTTTTTTTTACCCGAAGCGAATATTTTTTTTCCAAATGTAGTCAAAATTGTAGTCAATACTGCTGATACCTATATTCATAATTCACTTTAATGTGAATGAATTAGGCTATTCCACAACTTAAGAAATTGTGCAAATATTGCACTCTTGCCTTCCCATAGTACGTCACACAGTTTTTATATTTTTGATGTTACTTAAATAAAAATTAAATATGAATAATTTGGATCATTATTTGTCTAGTAAATGTTTGGATGCTGTAAAGTTCAAATAACCAAAAATATTTTGCAATTTAGAAGTGTTTAAAATCTTCTCACGTCAATTTTTAAAACTAAATATAATGACAAATTTTTAAACAAATACCTAAGTTGCCTGAGAATATTCTGGCCCTTTTAAGATTTGAAGAATTTTCCAAGAGTCATTTTCTTCAAAAATCGATTCTCGTGGTGCTAATACGTCGGCTCTGTGGTGTTAATACTATTCTGTTGGCGTGTAAAGTTAATACTTCTCTGTGGTGTTTAATTTTCGAGCAGGAAACCAAAAAGAAATGCCTTGTTTAATGACATATTTTTAAGTTCAAAGCTTTTGTTGCAAGGTTCAAAGCAAAAACAAGTTTTAATTGTTTAAGGAGATCTCATCATCATCATATGAGATTATACTTGTGGTATATAAAAGTGGAAAAGACAGTAATGATAATGATGTAAGCCTATTGTCTGATTGTGAAAGTGATAATGATAGCAGTATTTAGTCTGTAGTAAGTATTTTGTATTTAAGAAAAATAAATGTGACCATTTTATATGAAGTATCCTCTTTTTATAATATGTCCTCTTTTTCCATTATTGAAGTATGGTAACCCTATACAACAGCAACAATTTTCTCACATTACTTCTAAATTTAAAATTTTCTATAATTTCAATAGAAAATGAAACATACTCCATTCTTTTAATCATTCTTTGTTCTATCCGTGAAAAAATTGAATAAAAGTTTGGACAATTTTATAAAACAGAGAGTTAGCGCAAATGAGACTAGCGCCAATTATTTACCGTTCTCTAAAACAAAATTTAAAGAATAAAATTGGAGTTATCATTAAGGGAATAATTGTTTAAAAATTCCCAATATTTCATGCAAAATTACTCGAACATTACTCATGTTTTGAAAAATTGTATCTGACGTTATTCAAGATTCGTCGTTAACGAACAAATTTCAATAAAGAAAAAAATCTGTCTTTAATATTGTAGTTGTAGGAAGACTCCGAACATTTTTTAACCATTCATTATTTTCAAAAAATAGAGAATTTCAATGAAAATTATACTTACTCCATTATTTTAAGCGTCTTTTATATTAAATGAGTGCAAACATTAATCCATACATTTGAACCCTTTTTGAGAAAAGTTTGGAAATGTTTTTGAGGTTTTATGTAAAGTATTCTCAAAAATAAAACTATCTTTTTCAAACTTGCAGGACCTCTAGTCTCTAGAAATCCGTTGGGGAATATCAATTTTGGAGAAAGTCGGCTGAACGGCTTAGACTTTAGTGTGGGCTACTGACAGAAGGACAGACAAATGGACAGACGTTTTGCCATCGATTGATTTTTCGGTATCAAGGACCTACAAAACATGGATTATAGCTACACAACGTGTTGGACGAAGTAATTTCGTATATTCAGGAATAAGATCAATTTTTTGGTTCCCAGGGCCCGACAACGCGAATTTTTCTGAGGAAAATTTGTCGTTTTCCGATGCACGATTATTATAATACTCTCTGTTCTTACTAAGAAAGGGCAAGAAAGTGAAATTATAGAGGATATCGAATTAATTAAACAATAATCCGGTGTATTCATAAATTTGAATAAGCCTTACATGCGCCTTATTACAATTTTACGTAGAGTTTAGGGTGGATCTCCATATAAACGAGGTAATTGTAAATTCTTGTATATGATAGCGCGGAGTGATGATAATACTGCGACAGAGAAATAAATATTCATCAAAGAAACGATAGAACGTCCGTAGATTTCACGTTCGCAATTCAGCTGATTTTATTGTCCATTCCGTGCCGCCTCCCAAACCTATCTAAGAATACTTATATGTTACTGGTCTCTAAATGCTTTATCAATAATCCTACACCAGTGATCTTTAATAGGTCTCGTTCTGATGCATACGCATTGTATTTCCTACCAGTCTTAAAATTGAATGAGCAATCTACATGAAATCGTATAATTACCGGATTTTTTATCTTGTAAATATTTTATAGCCTCATTCGAAACGCGTAAAATATACGGTTCCGACCACAAAATTAAACAGAGTGCTAGAAGAGAAGTTTTGTAACTGGAATTCCAAGCATACTTACGTTTAAATGGTAACTTTTATGCTCTATTTATTCATTTGAATGCGGGTCGTTCGAGTGAAAGGAATTCAATGTAGCTGCATTTCCACTTGGTGTCGTAAGATCCCTTTTCGTTGCACTTGTAATCCGGTTGAAGAATTTATGTACTTTAGAAATTAGTCGGCAGGATGACTTTCTGGTATTAAAATATTCGAAAATTCATCAAAATAGAATGACGTTATGAGTTGAAAACTTTCCTTGACCCACTAACAATCGCAACTATTGATAGGGTTGACGACATAGTATTGTACTGAGGGCAAATTGAAAGTTTATATTGACACAACTAGACCAGTAGCAATTCATGCATAAAACTATTTACAGTTATCACAATAATTGTGGCAGATGGAATCCACAAATTTATTTTTGATCTGAATTCCAGATTCAGTATCTATTGTGATATTTTTCATGGCCCGGGTATGTTTCCATTATGATAGTTGTTAAAACTTGGTCAGATAGACAAAATGTGTTTCAGTAGATATGAGAGATACGACGTGACAGCGCGAATTTTTTCTGTGAAATTTTCTAGGTAATTTCGAGTTGCTGACAATTCTATAAGTACTACACTACTGTAGCTGCTAAAAGTTCCCATGAATCAGGAATCCTATCTTTGAGGTAGAATGCAAATCCTGATTTTTAATTCATAGTTTCCCCATAAGGATTATACCACTTTTTATCATATTTTGAAAATAGCACCCCAGGCCCTGCAACTTATTATTCAATACGATGTGAGGCGTTGTGTAATTTATGTGTCTAATTAATGTATAATTTATGTTTACGGAATATAAATAATTTGTGTCAAATGGGCTATCTACATTCAAAAGTTATTAACAACTCATATTTAAAAAAATGTGCATGATATTATTTAAAGATCGAAAATTGAGAAAATACTTTTATTGCTTTAATATTGGCAGTATAGGAATACTTCAAAAAATATTTGAACGTTGCAATTTTCAAATTTTCAAAGGTTTAACGAAAATTAAAACTACATTTAAAAATGTTTTTTTTATTTGAAAACAAAATTAAAGATAAATGCAGAATTTTCCAAAACATCTGATCATACCATAGAGTCTTGATGAAATGTGTCTCCTATCGAAACAATAAAATATCTTAACACATTCTGGAACAGAAAAACTGAATATTAATCCTGATGTGTTTATCAAGTTTGAGCTCATAAGCTTCAAATCCGACAGAATTGTGCTAATCTCAACCAGTTACGTTTAAGTGTATGTATCTCTCCATCTGTGCCCATTCTCACCATCTTTGGAAGGTCACTAATAGACCTTATTTCTGACATGTGTTCAGAAAAACAGCTCAAAAGAACACGGTTTTACGATCTAAAATTGAGGTCGTGTTGTTGAGAAGATTCCAATATTTTTTTAATATTTCCAAAACTTCAAAACATCCATTTCAAATTCAAGGGCGTAAAACAATTTTTCGGTATCAAGTACCCACACAACGTGGATTCCAGAATACACAACGAGCTAGAGGAAGTTATTTACTGCATAGAGGAACAAGAATTTTCCACTTTTTGGCATCAGGAATCCACAGAACGAGTTTTTCTGTCAAACTACTGGTGCTACAGCTGCACATAAGTTCTCGCTATATTATAATTCATTAATTTCAAACAGAAATTACGCAGAAACTACTAACGCGTACAAAAAATGTAATTTGATTTTTTAAAGAACTAATTTTGAACAACAGACTATGGCTGGGGCAAAAATCGTTGCAATTAAAAAAAACAAACTGCAATGACAAAAATGGGATTAGCATAATATTTTTACTGTCCCTTATTACATATGTGAATAAAATTCAAAGAAAATATTTTGAGTGATTTTTGAGAGAAAAAATCGTTAATTTCAAGTGCAAATTAAGCAAAAACTACTCATATTTTTCCAAAAATCGTACATGACCTTTTTTAAAGAGCTAATTTTGTACAACAGACTTTGTCTACGGCAAAAATCTCTATTTCGAATTTTGTAGTAAAAAATTGCAATTTTCAATAAATGGAGCAATACCCGAAAATTGGACTAACACGCAATTTTTTACTGTCCCTTATTCACAAGTGGAGAAAATTTAAAGAAAAATAATGGAGTCGTTTTTAGAAAAAATGCGAACATTGCAAATTATGTTTTAATTAACAGTATTAAAAAATTACTGTTTTTTAAAAACAAATGTAGAAGACCTTTTCTAAAGAGATAATTGTGTACAACAGAGTTTCGCTGGGGCAAAAATTTCTACCTTCAATTTTGTGTTTTTAATTTATTTCCATTTTTTCCATCGATTTTCGAAAAATCAGGGAATTTAACGAAAATGAGATCTGCACCATATGTTCTAAGGTGCTTTTCACTATTTAACTAGAAATTTAATCAAAAAATTTGTAGCAAATTTTTGAAAATTTTGAATATCCCAGGGGCTTCTTGTAAAGTACTCTTAAATTAAAATATCGGAATTTAAATTCCAGGGCCTGCGACATCAGCCAAAACGATTGAGGAATATCGATTTCGGGGAAAATCGGCTGAACGGTTTATGGGTTATCGTTGTCTAGTCTGACGAACAGTCAGACGTTTTGCCTTTATTCGATTTTTAGGTACGAAGGACGCACAGAGAATGAATTTTGGCTACACCACGTGTTAGAGAACATTTTTATATACTCGGCAACGGGATTTATCCAGTTTATCGATACCAGGGGTCGGAAATAAGAGTTTTTGTGTCGAAAATTCGCCATTTTCCAGGCACGATAATATTTTCTCTTCTTAGGTTAGTAAGTGTGAGAAAGTATTAATAGCCACTTTTAGCTGAAGAATTACACTATGCAGCAACTTTCTCTACACTATGTATGTTGTTTGCGAGAAAGCCAAGAAAAAAAATCATTCATCGCCCAATCTCTGAATTGTGCATTAAAAGTCAGATTCTGTGCCCGGCAATTCCCTAATAATATTACATAGATTTCGAGATTCGGCTTGTTTGAGACATCCCGTGTGTTACAACCTAAGAAATTCACCAATGATGGGGGGTGGGGTGGCGCTGACCGCAGAAGAAATTGAAGGAATATTTAAGAACATATCAAGAATATAAATATAAAACATTTAAGAATTACTACTATATGTATTTAGCAATACATCACAGAAACGTCTACAAGTTTATGTTGAAACAATTTTAGTTTTGGGGTATGGAAAGTAGCATATATTTTTATTATTTTCTGTACTCAAATTACTTTCCGAGAAACACACACGGCCATGTCTATTTTTGAAGAACTCGTTCAACATTCAATATATTGTTCCGAACACACAACTGTTCTCTCTATCGTCAGAAAAAGGTTTATAGGCAGTTCTGGTTGTAAGATAACGCGGGAGACTCAACGTAGAGATTACGCATGGCGGCTATTTGAAATTGTCTTCTAAACATGAGACAATCGTTGAAAGGTCGCAGTTAGCACCCAATCGGGAGCTTCGTTGATTGATGTTTCGGAGCACGTCAAGGTATAAGGTCATTAGTCCCGTACGTGTAGTGCATGATTTATCGTGGGAGGTGGCAGTTATCTTCCCCCGTTGGATCCGGTGTCATCCTGCAGGTTGGCTGCGGTGATTTCTCCCACCAAATATCTCCCACCAGAGGGGCAGCGTCCCAACTAGGGCAAACTCTAACCGTCCAACATGTGGCTTACTGTAGTACACGTAAGTGTAAATGTGTGTAAGTAAAGAGTAAGGGTAAGAATAGAAATACGGAAATATAACGCGCGGCCCGTAGCGCGTTTGGTACTTATCCGCCATTCGCCTGGTGTTGATTGGAGGAACATGGAAAAACTAGCGATCAAATCCGCCGGTCGCTAGAATTCTCCTTCAGACAGCTGCTGAATTCGACCTAGCTATGTGCCCACTGCCAAAAATCCTGCCACTCAAACTCCAGGACCTCCCGGTCAGAGACTCTACAGTGACTTAAGTTGATGTCCTGAGTGACTCCCATGTTATTGGGAACCTTCGATTAACACTGAAAGGGGTCAGACCGCTCTGTTTTATGCACAATGATATCAAAGGTTGCGATTTAATGTGAGTAACGTGTGTTACAGGTTCATCTTAAATCAGTTTGATGCACTGATGCACCCAAAGGCGGGGGGGGGGTATTGCCTAAGTTTCGTCTATAGGTGGTTTTGGAAATAAGATGAAATCGCTTATCTGGTGACAACATAGATGCTGGGCTATTATAACATCTTGAACGGAAATAAAGGGAATCTCTTACTCAGTAAAAATATGCAAATTAAATCTATTGTGAATGCTCTTAATAAGAAACTGTAATCTTTTCATATGTATCGTAAATAATCTATAAACCCATTATTGGAGAGTGTAAAATCTATTTTTTTATTTGTAATGTGAGAATCAGAACAAAGAACTACGAGTATGGATTCGTCAATATACGAATGCTTTGTTTTTCGATGTGTAGCGAAATACAGAGGACATAAATGGATTACAAGTTTTACGGGAATAAAACAACGATGTAAATTTTGTTATATTGATATGGAAATCCAGCGTTTTAACCGAAACGCTAAACATGTCACCCCTTTTTCATACGTTCATTTTTCTGAGAAGCGATTTTTATTATATTAAACCTACGCTGAAACGGGGTTTTGACAAAATATCACGTGGATTTCCGTGAGTAGCTCTTTAATGAGAATTACTAACTTTTCGTAGCTTCTAAATATCATAAAATGAGGCTGCGGTAAAATAACACTCAATTATTATTAATGTTTTATCGGCTAGGTGTAGGGAAATAATTAGATTCAGTCCAAAAAATTCAGGACGAAATTTCGGTGATAAAACCCGTTTTTGAAACCCAAGGGTGAAAAACGTGAACGAGAAAAACTCTACCAAGTGTGGGTTTTCCAGTTTTACCAGTTTTCTACGGGTCCCGAGTTCGGATCCCGCTTGTGATCGCCGATCAGAGATACCCTGAAGGGAGCGGTTACCGCAGGATCGCTTGATGCTAGCTTTCGAGTCGCTCATCTCACGGCTGTGCTCTCGCGTCCCAGAACTCTTGTCCGGATACACAGAAATTCTCAGTTTTGCAGGTAGTGCTATCGACACTATTTATTCAATTTGGAAATGACACGCATGCCAATTACGGATGGAACTTCCTCGCAAACTCCTACATGCAGCTGAGTGCAGAAATAGAAAATGTCCTCGCTCCCGGCTGGTCGTGGCAGCATCCGTAGAGCGCTCGCGTGGAAGATCTCGGGCGGCCTTTCGGGGGTCCACGAAGTAGTGTTTCTGTTAATATTTTCACTCTCCCGCGGGACTCCTACGTCACTGCACTAACCATCGCATCTCGTCACGTTACGTCTGTCCCCTTCCGCATCTCACACTCGCCCGTCTTCCAGACGCCCTGTCTGCTGCCTACTGAGTCGATCTCGATGCGTCATGTCCCGTGTAATTGGTCAGTATCCGTCACAAGGTCGGTGAGTCCCCTAGTTTTGATTTCTCACTCCATGCATCGGGAGATCCCCTAGCTCGTTGCCGGCAACTTGTGCTGGGGGAATCCCCGAGTTTGTTTTCTTTAGAGGTAGGTGCAGATGGGCGATCGTCGGGTGGTCCTTCCCCCGGGAGCGCGTTCAAGAATTCCCAGGTTGTAAAAGAGAAAAGTTTCGGGGCCGAATCCCTGATGCAGTGATCTGCAACGCGATCTGCCACACACGTCTGTATAGATATTATGGACGGACCGATGAAGGGACACGCGAGTAGAGTAGGAGTTTTTGAGCTCTACTTTATTACGCTAATTTGTAGATGAATAGGATGAGTCATTTAGTGTAAAAAAAGCATATTTATCATGAAATTACGAACTAGCAGAAGTATCTCACACTGTCCGGGAAATTTTTAAACACATTCATCTTTTACGAGAGTAAATCTGTGTATGAAGTTTTCACACAATCCCTGCCCAGCCCAGTCCCTCCGCGGTCTTCCCCTCCCCGTCGCGCCCTGACCTGACCCACCCGCCCTACTCTACTCTGCTGTAATTGAGTTGGCAAAAGATCTTGTCTGGTGGCTCAAGGTATCAATTATTGATGTCACTGGCTTACGTCCGACCGAAAAGTCCGTCGCAAATCCAATTAGCATAACGCAAGAGGCAAATCAGACATCTTCTTGTCCTTCATCCAAAGTTTATGTGCCTTTTTATTCCTATTCTGAGAAAGAAACAGGCCATTTCAACGCGTAATTCCGTAAAGTAAACCGTGGGATTTGAACCGTTGAACGGGCGGCTGGCGTGGGTATCATATCACCGGTTATTATTTGAAGCGGGAACAAACCTCATCGCAAACCCAATTTGCGTAACGCGAGAGGCAACTCAGACACCTTCTTGACCTTGATGCTAAGGTTATATGCCTGATCATTCTTATTCAGAAAAATGAATGAGCCATTTCAACGCGTAATACCGTAAAGTAAACCGTGGGATTTGAGCCGTTGAACGGGCGGCTGGCGTGGGTATCATGTCACCGGTTATTATTTGAAGCGGGAACAAACCTCATCGCAAACCCAATTTGCGTAACGCGAGAGGCGGGGTGCCGCGCAGCTGAAATCCAGCGCCGGTGGCTCGATGCGGTGTGTGGGGGGCGGGGTGGAGGGCGTGTCGCCCGGGAGAGCGCAGCAGGGCCAGGGGAGGGGGTGCGGGCGGGGAGGCTGGAGCCGCGGCCGGGGTCGCCATGGCGACGGGCCCGGCTGCCCGGCCGCGCTCGCCCGCCACAGGTGTCTGCGTGCGCTGTGGGTCGGCGGCAGGTCTCACGCGGTCGAATCGAGGAGCACATTCTCACAGTCGCTGCGCATTTACATACACTATTTCGATTGATTATTTTGTGTTTCTGGGAGTAACAACTGCTAAAGTAATCATTCCCATAAGTGGAATATACGTTTTTATTACTGGAGGTGGCGGTGATCTTCCCGCGCTGGATAGTGAGATCGCGCTGAATTAGAAGTCGCTGAATTACAAGTGGGGTTTTCTCCAACAACGTATCTCCCACAAGCATTGCACTGCGGCATCCGGGATATGCTCTATACTCCAGTCTGGTCTCATGGTATTGTGGTAGTATAATACATGTGTGTCAGTACGTAAAGGGCAAGGTTAGGTCAAGAAAGGAGGTGGAAATATCTCGCGTTGACCTCAGCAGGTTTTTAGGGTACTGCTTCGACATTCGTGTAGTGTTGATTGGTAAACCACACAAAACTACAGCTCAGAGCAACCGGCTGCTGGGATTCGCCTCCAGACAGCAGCTGAATTTGGATAGTGTGGAAAATCCTGCCTCCTCCGAAAACAAGGACGTCCCATTGGTCGGCACTGCTGTATCACCAGTTGATGCCCTGAGCCACCTAAGGCGGTCATTTCGAGTTTGGTCGAAATGAGTGTGTGTGTGTGTGTGGACGAGTCTGCTCTCATCGGACGATTTCCGTGGTTTCTCCCTCCATACGAGGCAAACACCAGAGAATAACCCTAACCATTCAGTCCCCGTCCCCTTCGATCTTCTCTCCGTCATCCTCTCCCTTCCCCTTACACACACGCCCTTACACGCACCTTACACAAGATGTCGCAAAGTGTAGAGTGAGACTTAGATCTTGCTAAGGCTGACGGTGGGAATACCTGGGGGGACTCAGTATTAAAGCCGACGTGTATGTGGGCTCCGGATTTTCCATACAAAGGGGTGAAACACTCAAATTCCAGGGTTTATGACCTGTACAAGATGTATGATGTAGGAACATACGTTCCTGGTAGTTGTACGCACAAAACAGTAAGCGCTTACAAATAAATTATTAGAAATGAAATTCCATAACATTTTCCTCACATTTCTCTGCTTCTTTGCATTATCAAGTGAAAGGTCTCGCTTAGTTGTAGTATCCTTAGTAAATGAGTTATGGATTGTTTTAAGTAACAACAGCTTTATAGCCTCACATCCCTTGTATCTTTCTAACCGTACTAATTTTTGAAAATGAAATTTTTGAAAAATGAATGTGTTTGGTTATCGTGGAATTATGAAGATAGGTGAGGCGTAAAATTCATGACGATTTCAAGCGGATGAGTTTGGTAGAAAACCTCTCAGAGCGAATTTCCGACCTCCTAAAATTGTGGTTCTTTTAAAGATTTTTATTTTGCAATTGAATTTGAAAAGAATACGTTCTCTTTAATTCAATTCAATGCTTTTAAAGAGTGCAATTGCAACACATTTGGAATTTGAAAGAATGTGTTAGAGTAAAATAATTGTTTCGTAGTTTAATTTACGTTGTATGCCAGAGTTTCTTTTGTCTATTTGGAAGTTCTCAAATATCCACATCTTAAAATTTTTAAAGCACGTTAAATCAACAGTTATACCTATTTTTATGGACTGTTAAAGAGAGGCGTAATCTGGTCTAAAGATGGCCAAACACCTCGCACCAGAATGGTGCAGATCTACGGTGAGTTGAGCCGGGTATGTTCATTATATAATCTGGATCTGGCCTCCTGCTTACACATAAAAAAATTACCACAGTTACCCTGATTTGCATGTGACTTGCAAACACTGGAACCTATCTCATGCAGCTAATTTCTACGTCACAGGGATACAAATGTTAATCTCATGGTATGACAATTTACACAGTTCTTGAGATGATTATGAGAAATATATAGTGCAACATCCATATTTTCTACAACAATGTTTACCCATGAAATTATGCTTTCTATTTGATGACGACCTAGAGGAACTAAACTTCGTGGTTTGCATCATATATTTTTATTTCATTCATACTGTTAGAAGCGCTTTTTAATGGTCAATAATATACTGTTACAGAACCTCTTTATAATCTACGAGTGCTCACAATTATTTATATACTCCTAGACGATCCGGGTAATGACACAGCAATATTTCCTCCATCGCACCTCACATATTATTTTTATTTTGTGTTTTATTAAAAATGGAAAGAAAATTTAATTGTTGATTGATTTATGGAATTTGACACATTTTGAGTTTGACGAGACACGTGACGTTTTCACGACTATTGTAATTTTTTTTGTAACAGAAACCAAAACTTTATTTGAATCAGTTACTCGACCACTTCTCTTTTTGTAAGCAACTAAATTAACAGTTTTCTAATTTGAGACTTGAACTGATATTATTGATATTGAAACCTTTCGAATATAGAGATTTTGACATACGCTTCGATTACTTTATGAACCGACATTGGAATTATTTGAAGATCGGAGACACGCAATACTTCCCTATTGCAATATATTACACTTCACACGCATTACATTTCACTTCAAGTGAATGTTAATCTTTTTACGCTCTGAAACATTTCTAATAGATGAAAAACGTTCTCGTGAGAATGGGCTTGTTTTGTCTTGATTTTGAATAGGGTTGTCAAGTAGCCTATTGTTAAAAAATTCTCCCTCCAAGTTTGGGCATGCTTTTGTTATGTCATTGTCTTGGAGAAATTTGATTTAGTTGTCCGAGATAACATTCAAGGGTATTAATATTCCGGCCGGTATTTCTTATTTGTAGGGGCAGAATATGCAGCCAGCACGTGTTTAATACTTGACTGTGTGGCGGGTTGCCTATAGCTTCTGTTCAGGGGCTATTGAGAAAACTGAGCAAGTCTTCATAAACGCCATCAACAACAGCCTCACATTTTCGATTTCACACGACACATTCAAACCACTCTATAAATATTCTCGATACTTCATCTCGCTACTCGATCAAAATAGTTTTTGCGTTTATATATAACAGACATACGCACATCCCCTATGTAATGTCACAATACTCTTTTCATTAGCAATCAAATGTAAAGATTTGCTAATTTGAAACTGCTACGGGATTTATTGATATTGACATCTTTTGAATGTCTAGAGAGTTTGACGGACACTTTTATTAATTTATGAATCGAAAAGGAACGTTATTTAAAAATTGTCGCTCGATCATCACTCTTTTCGTTATAAATCGTATTTAAGAATTTCGTATTTAAGAATTTGAAAATTTGAAACTTCAACTTGATTATTTGATACTTTTCGAGTTACGTCTAAAACTGAAGTAACTTATACTCGACTGTATATTCAATTCAAATGCAGAATTTTAATATTTTGAAAGAATCTTGAATAAAATCTGTAGTTATTGCTGAAATCTTGTATAAATCCATAATGGATGGATAGGTATGCAGATGTGTGTCTGTAAATAGAAGAATGTTTGCTATTTAGGGTACAGCATCATGAAGTAATTTTGTAAAATGAAACAATTTTACTCTTCCACCTTACTACGGTTTTAGGAGAAAGTATTCTAATTCTGCAACAGAAACCATCGATTTTGCGACTGATAATCTGATATTGTATGGCCCTAGTATCAGAACAGTAGATAAATCTTATTCCTAGATGCCGTAAACTACTGCCTGTAATAATTTGAGGTCAAAATACTCGTTTTGAGAGAATTTTACCGAAAAAATGGTTGAAAGTTAACCGCCTGCCTGTCCATACATCCTTCCTCCTACAAAATTCCCATATTTATCTGGCCGAACTGAGGCCCTGTGAGTTTGAAAGATACTTCACTTTTTGAGGGTACTTTACATATAAAGTATTCTGCCTTAACATTTCCAATTTTTCCTTAAAAAGTCACTTAATTTTTCCTTTACATTTTTTTCTCGAATACACCAAAGAACATTTAAAAAATATGGCACAAGTTTCCTGTTTGTATAAATCTCTGAATTATCGAAAGCTGCCAAAGTTATATGAGAAATTTAAAGGGAAAAGTATGTGCTGTTGTAGCATCTCTAGAAGTGAAAGATTGCTTCTGTTTACATATCCTTGAAATCGGCAGAGGTGGCTCAACGCATCAACTGATGACACTGCAGCGCTGCTCACTGGGTGGTTATAGGGTTCGAGCGCCGATGGGGGAGGGATTTTTTACTATAGCTTGGCAGCTAGATCGAAATCTGCCGACGTCCGGAGGAGAATTCTAGAGGCCAGCTACTCTGGTCGGTGGCTCTCCGTGGTTTCGTAGGTTAACGGCAGGCGAATACCGGGCCACTACCTAACAAACGGACCACGGAACTCGTGCGATCTTTCCGTCCTATTCCTTGTCCTATCGTCACCCCTTACTTAAACACACTCACATGCAGTGCACATCACAGGAAAAGGTTGGGAGATCATCCGGGGGATTAGAGCTTGTCATGGAGCGGTGCTTTGCTGGTGGGAGATACCTGGTTAGGGGGAAAACCAGCAAACTGGCACGAAGCCCGGCACCGAGACTCCCTATCCGGCAGCGATCACCACCACCCGCGAGACCACACTTACGCGATTAAATGACCACAGACATTGAGGCGCCCGGAATCACCAACCATTCAATCAACTGACCTTGAAGTTGATTTTCTGCTTGGAACGTGGCGTTTGCGTCGAGCGCCGCGCCCACTGTGCGCGGTGGCGGTGTGGCGGGGGGTGGGCAGCGACGGTGCGGGGCGGGGGGGGGGAGGGCGAGGGCGGCGGGCGGCGCGCGCGTCTCGCGCCGGCAGCAGCTGGGCAGCCAGCCCCCGGCCGGCCTCCCCCAGCGGCGGCAGCTCCTCTCGCCCGGAGGTAAGTGCGCGGCCCTCGGCGCCGCCGGCGTGCTCGCCAGGCCTCCGGGCCCGAGCGAAGGGCTTCTCCCGGAAGGGGGCGGTGTTCTTCCACCGCTGGGTGGGACGTTCGTCCCGATCTGAACGCCGGCTTGCGGCAGGATTCCCTCTCCTGGTATCTCTCCCAAAGAAACACCGCCCCCAGCTGGGACTATCTCGGCATGTGAGCTAGTGTAGTGCATGTAAGTGTATTGTAAGTAAGGACGAGGGAAGTTTGCGCCCGCTCCGGTTCCCGTTTGTTAGGGTTCTGCTCCGATATTCGCCTGGTGTTGATCGGAGAAGCCACGGAAAACTGCCGATCAGAGCAGCCAGACACTAAAATCCCCTTCAGGCGGCGGCTGAATTCGACCTAGTTATGTAGCTAGGGTCGCAAATTCTGCTGCAGGCGGGACTCGAGTCCTAGCACCTTCCGGTCAGGGTGGCTGCAGATTCAAGGGCAATGCTAGCTCTGAGTTAATCCAGGCGGTTCAGGTGAACGGGCGTCGCCGCGTGTTATGGGGAAACTGCGTTTTTCGGCACCGCGGGTGTGGGAATGGTCTTAAGCGTGTCATGTGTTGCTTTGGATCGGGGCTTTTTGCTTACTTCAAAATGTATTTAAGCACGTGTATGAATTTACAGACGAACATTTGAGTGTCATTCTTTATGTAATTTCTTGTCTTCTCTTGCGCATCCCAAGGTCCTTATAATTATTGATACGATTTTTGATGGTACAGTTTTTGTTTAAACACTACGTTTTAAGCATGTATTGTATTCTCAGAGACGTCTAATATATTTTATTTTGCACTTTATCTGTACTATTGGGATATATATATATATATATATATATATATATATATATATATATATATATATATATAT